AAATAATAATGAAAAATCTCTCCTCTGGTGCAGCTCTCTTTTCCTAGAAAATTAGGATGTGGAACAAGACTTAGAATGAAGACTCCTAATCTCCGAAAGGAATAGTAGGCCAGAAAGTTACTGTCCTCAATGTCTAGTTCTGAGGAAGCTCCCTCCAGAGGCTCTGTCTTGTTATCTCTTTTTGGAAATACTGAGCAATGAAGCTATTCAGAAGAAACAACTCGGACAGACAATAACTTGCCCAGTAGAGTAACCTGTACACTTTTTCTCCCAGGAATTGGGAAGGAAGAACAAGGTTCTGACTCTTAATAAACTCTACCCCGATGGCCAAAGAATTTTTCTAGTTTGCTTTGGAAAAGTCTCATCAGGACTATGGAAGAAGTGAGAGTTTGTCATCTGGGTGCTCATCAGCAGGGGGCACTATTGCATCTCCCTGTGCCCTAATAAAGAAGCAGGAGAGCTCATCCTAGACAAACTAACAGGGTGTTGAGAGCACCAGCGCATTCCTGAGGCTGGTAAATTTGAACAGATAATCTCCTCTTGATCCAGGGAAACAGATAGGCCAACTCCTGATGGCCTTAAGAAGCATAAGGGATAGGCAGCAAGGGGCTCAGCGCTATTGTTTTCTGGTGACCAGCAATACAACAATATATCAACAGGTGTATATGTTCATCCTTATCCCATCCCTCCCACCACCTAGCCCTGAAAAAAGGTGTTGTGACTCTATGTCCTAACCACTGGACTCCTCTTTCACCTTGTTTCTCCTTAAACAACATCTCATTTTATCTCATATTAAAACAATCTTAGATATGGTTGAACAACACTGTGAATATACTTACCACTACTGAACTGTATACTTTAAGATGGTAAATTTTATGTATGTCTGTTTTACCACAACCCCCCGCCCCCAAAAATTTAGACAAACTCAGGAAGAAACATAACAAGGTTTGAAATGGTCTTGCCACATCCTTGCCCTTTCTTTGTTCAAGCAGTCCTAGCAAATTCGACACTTTCAAGCAAGCCTTCTCAGATAACCAGAATTGCCTATATAAACATACAGTTATTGACTCCCTTCTCCCTCTCTTCCTCTTATATCTACACACTGTGTACTTATTAATCTCAAGGACCGAAGCCGAGCCCTTAACTTCCTTTGTATTGGATAGAGTACGCTCCCTCCAAAGATACATATATTATGCTGTTGATGACTCTGACCCTTGCTTTGTATTTTAAACCTTGTTGTGCCTTCTTATTCAGTGTGTCTTCCTCACTTTCTTTCTTTGCCTCTTTGAGGTAGAGGTCAGCAAACTTTTAGGGTCTCTGTGGTCACTACTCAGTTGTAGAAAGAAAGCCAGTACACACTCTGTAAATGAATGAGCATGACTGTGTTCTAATAAAACTTTTTTTTTTTGAGTTGGAGTCTCACTCTGTCGCCCAGACTGGAGTGCAGTGACCGCTCCCAGGCACCGCAGCCTCGCCTGCTGGGCTCTGGCGATCCTCCCACGCTGGAACTACAGGCATGTGCTACCATGCCCGGCTAATTTTTGATATGTTGTAGAGATGAGGTCTCGCCAAGTTGCCCAGGTGGGTCTCGAACCCACGGGCTTAAGCAATCCACTCACCTCAGCCTCCCAAAGGCGCGAGATTACAGGCTGAGCCACTGAGCCTGGCTCTAATAAAACTTTATTTACAAAACCAGGCTGTTGCAAGATTTAACCCACGGGTGGTAGTTTGCTGACCCTAGCTTTGAGGAAAGAAACCTTTCTCGGGGGTGGGGGCCGGATTGGCGTAGTGGGATTCTGTCGGGGGGGGGCACACATCATCAACAAGGGTACCTGCATAATGAACATATGTATACTTAACCCTGAATTGTACCCCACATCTTTAAAATAAAAAATTAAAATTAAAAAAAAAAGAAACCTTTCTTCCAGCTTTCATCTTAACCTGGCCTAACAAACTATTGCCTTCTGGGCATAAGCTTCGTCTCCTTTTTCTTGTTCTTTTTTTTGTTTTGTTTTGTCTTTCTTATATTTCTTGTTCTTATACATGTCTTTTGTTCTCATACACATCTCTTATACATACTGACTCACTGGGAAAGGTAACATTGGGGAGAGGGGTTGAATGAGTATTTTTTGCCCACACTTTACTATATATATATATATGTGTATATATATATATTTTTTTGAGTTGGAGCCTCTGTTGTCCAGGCTGGAGTGCAGTGGCACTCTCACAGGCACCGCTGCCTTGACCTGCTGGGCTCCAGCGATCCTTCTGCTTTAGCCTTCCAAGTAGCTGGAATTACAGGTGCACACCACCACACCTGCCTAAGTTTTTTGATTTATTGTAGAGACGAGGTCTCACCACGTTGCCCAGGCTGGTCTCAGGCAGTTCCCTCACCTCTATCTCCTAAGGTGTTGGGATTATAGGCATGAGCCACTGTGCTCGGCAACATATATATATTTTTAAGTTGTAGTCTCACTCTGTTGCCCAGGCTGGAGTAGCACCATCACAGCTTACCACAACCTCCTGGACTCAGGCAATTCTTCCACCTCAGTCTCCTGAGTAGCTGAGACTACAGGTGCATGCCACCACACCTGACTAATTTTTTGATGTTTTGTAGAGATGAAGTCTCACTATACTGCCCAGGCTGGTCTTGAACTCATGGACTCAAGTAATCCTCCCACCTTCCAAAGCATTTTGACCTTCTAAAGTGCTGGGATTACAGGTGTGAGCCACCACACCCAGCCACTTTACATATTTAAATGGTTTTTGGTGTATTCCTGTATAAATATGAGGAAGCTTCTTGTAAATGAACATACTCAGTAGACCATATCAAGGTGGATATCGTGTGTGTAAAACAAAAACAGAGTTCATCCCCAGGAAATCCCTTCATCTTTCTCAAGATATTGATGTATTGTCTAGAGTCTCTATGTCATACTCTCTTTCCCAAGATCTCAAGTTAGACTTGTTTGTTCTTTTTTGCTCCTGGAAACACCTCCTCAAGTCCACATATTAGCTGTTTCAGCCTAAGGACTTTCCCGGAGTTGTTAGTCAGCATCTCACAAAACGGTTATTAACCTGACATTGTACTTTGTTGTGAAAACTTTTATCTTCATGCCCATATGTTAGAACCAGAGAGGTCCATCCAACTATACCTGGAATGTAGGTTAGCAACTTCAGCAGGTCATCAAGCATTTACCCAAAGCCCTAGGGATTGCCTATGTGGTGTTTTAATTTTTTTTTCAGTGTTCCAAGAGGGGAGAATTAATAGTTTTTGGAAACAATGAGTATGATATATATTATCTAGTTTGTGTTTCTAACTTTTGGCAACATATATTTAATCGTCACCCCATTCCTCAGCCACTGAAAGTTGTGGAAAGCTTAAGAGAAGATCAGAAACCAAGGCACAGAGGCCAAACATGAGGATCCAAAAAGCATTTATGAATGGTCCACTCTGTCCTTCCAGCTTTTTTCTAAAATCAAATGTGATTTTAAATAATACATGCTTCTGTTTTCCTATTAACTCAGTTTGCTGAGAATTGACTGAGTTTCTATCAATACTGGGACTTTTTTTGTTGCTGCTTAGATTTTTATGGTATTTTTTTCTTAAAAAACTTCTCTAATCTCTTATTTATCTCTTTGGCAGATATCAAGGTTGATGATGAAGAAAAGAAGGTGATTACAGGATAATATGAAGTGCAAAAATATAATTTATCTTTTTTCTTTTTTTTTGGAGTCAGAGTCTCAATGTCACCCAGGCTGGAGTGCAGTGACACACTCACAGCCACCGCAGCCTTGACCTTCTGGGCTTGGCCGATCCTTCTTCCTTAGCCTTCCAAGTAGCTGGAACTACAGGTGTGCACCATCACAGCCAGCTAATTTTTTGACTTATTGTAGAGACAAGGTCTCACCAAGTTGCCTAGGCTGGTCCCAAACCCCTGGGTTCAGATAATCCTCTTGCCTTTGCCTCCCAAAGTGCTGGGATTACAGGAGTGAGCCACCATGCCCGGGCCTATCTTATTTTCTTGTTTTTTTTGAGTTGAAGTCTCACTCTGTCGCCCAGACTGGAGTGCAGTGGCACACCCCCGGCCACCGCAGCCTCGATCTGCTGGGCTCCAGCGATCCTCCCGCCTCAGTCTTCCAAGTAGCCAGAACAACAGGCGCGCGCTACCACGCCCGGCTAATTTTTTGACATATTGTAGAGATGAGGTCTCGCCAAGTTGCCTGGGTGGGTCTCTAACCCGCGGGCTCAGACAATCCACTCGCCTCAGCCTCCCAAAGTGCTGGGATTACAGACTGAGCCACCGAGCCCAGCCCCTATCTTATTTTCAAATGAGAAAATTCAACCCTAGAAAACCTGAGTAATTTCTTCAAGGTCATGGAGTAAGGTCTGGAGTAAGATTCCTTCTTGGTTTCTATCATAGTCGATCATTCCAGGCACCTTTCTTCTGCTCTATAGCAATGTGTCCTTTGATATCTCCATGGCATAAGGGTAAATGCCCATACTGGCCAAGATAAATAAACCCATATAGGGCCAGGGTCAATGTGACCTCCATTTCCCATTGTGAAAGCTGAGCCAGCTTTGTTGGGCAGTTGAGAGATGAGAGGTTCTCTATTAATACACATATCTACATGCCAAACCTTGGACACAAAAGCTAAGAATGTGGCATGGGGGAGGGGGTGGGATAAGCAATAGCAGTCTGGACTTAGAGTTCCTTTCCTTTGTCCAAGTCCTGAGAAAAATAACTAAATTCCTGGATGGAGGGAGGACAAAAATGAGACATCCACATGTCTTCAAGAAAGAAAATATATGCTATTATGAGAATATACCAGCATGTGGCTGTATCTAAAAATGTATGTGGATACATATGTCTATGTTCTGCAAAGCTACAGATCATAGACATATATGTTCTATGTCAAAATGTGTTTAGAATTTAGTCATATATTAACATAGAGATCTGCGTATGTAGATTAAACCCATGCCGCATCTCTCTAATACTCACATCCGCTGCCTTCTTCTCTGCCAGCTCCAGCTTCTCCTGGGCATCCTTCAAAGCCTCGGAATACTTGTCCAGCTCATCCTCTGTCCCTTTCAGCTTCTTCTGCATGGCTGCCAGCTCATCCTCCAGCTATAGGAGCCCGGAGAGTCACACAAAAAGACGTACATACAAAACAGTGCAGGCTTGGACCCTGGACCCTTGGGCCCCTGAGCCCAGCATCCATGTTACCATCCCCAGAGAGACACACTCTCCCCAGCCACTTCCAACCCACTGTTCAGGAGTTATGCTGCAGCTTAGTTTGTGAACTTGTAACCTCTGACCCTAAGATGACCAAGCCATCCTGGATTTTCATCCAAGACCCTTGAGTGGTAAATCTCTAAGGGAGTTGATGCCTGTGATGCTATTTGAGAGAAGAGAGATGCTGCTGAACGCTTACCTTTTCCTCTAGAAGTCAGGGGTTCTTCCAAAACATGGTTCGCTTCGACTTAAGTTCAGCAGACACACTGTGGCTCAGAAAAGGCCACTGACTTTTCCAAGGTCACAAAGGCAGTCTGAGGCAGATACCCTACATACCCTCTGCCCTTCAAAGGAGGCTGGAGAGTCCCTCCCACCCAAAGAGTGGGAGTCCCCAGTGGACACTGCCTTTCCCATGAAAACTCTCTCTCTTATAGTCTTGTTTCCCAGCGGGTAAGAGGGTAAGAGGGACCAATGCTAGTGCCTTACCTGTTTACTCCTTTCTTCTGCCTGCTTCTGCTCAGCTTCAGCCTGCTCTGCCCGATCCAGAGCATTCTCCTTGTCTAACTTCAGCATCTGCATCTTTTTCTTGATGGCCTCCATCATGAATAGTGGCTGTTGGTAGGCTGTGAACACTGGAGAACTGGATAGAGGGCAGGAGAGGAGGGGCTACTGCCTGAATGATTAGGAGCTCCCCAGACTTGAGCCTTTATCTCTGCTCACAGCTCCACCTCTTACTCCTAATATGGTCTTTCCAGCTCCCTCCACCCCATCATTGTTCTTCTGGGGGAACATAGGGTGAGATACTTTGATGGACTGACATCACCAGCAAAAAGATACATGGGAACAGCTGAAGCTGATTTTAGACAATGGAACATGGGGGAGGGGAGAGGCTCTCCCTGACCATGAAACTTTCCACACATTCTGGGCAGCGCTATTAGATGTTTTAAAAGAGCAGGACGACAGCCTGGGCAACATAGCAAGACCCTGTCTCTACAAAAAAATAAAAACTTACAATTAAACAAAAAAGAGTAGGAAGAGAAGAGGGAAAGAACATTGAAACAGAGAAGGGTACTTTGACAATTCTAGAATGGCAGTTTTTATCCAGAGGGTCCTAGTTGCCCTTCAGCTTCCCCTTATCTCCAGACTATGTTGGACGCTGGTCAAACTCCACTGACTTTGTCTTTTGATTCCTAATATTTAGGGAGTTTGGGCAACAGTGAAGAGGAGAGGTCAGTCATGGTCCTTGATGATTCCCCTGGCTCCCCAGATCAAATTGCTGGGCTATTTTTGGGAGTCTCTAATTGGCAGGGGGACATCACTCCTCCCCACTGAGAGCCACAGGAATAGAGTCAGAGGGTAGGGTTGAGATCTGGAAGGCCACCCCAGAGCTTCAAGTGGGGTGGAGAGAGAAAGAGGGGAGGGTCAGAGTACCCAGACAGGATCACATCCTCGTTTACCCATAGTGATCTTAAAATAGAACACTTGGGCCATTGCCAGGCCATTGTGGCCATTGCCTTGCTAAGCTATGGTGTGGCCATGTGCTCTTTAAGCTATGGCCAGACTATGTTTCCTGGCTTTGGCCCCCCTCCCCTCCCTTTGGGAAGTGGATCTCCTCTTTCTCTCTCTCTAATTTACTTTCTTTTTTTTTTTTTTTGAGTTGGAGTCTCACTCAGTCGCCCAGACTGGAGTGCAGTGGCCGCTACCGGCCACCACAGCCTTGCCTGCTGGGCTCCGGCGATCCTTCTGCCTCAGCCTTCCGAGTAGCCGGAATTACAGGCATGCGCTACCACACCCGGCTGATTTTTTGATTTATTGTAGAGATGAGGTCTCGCTGCCCAGGCGGGTCTCGAACCCACGGGCTCAGGCAATTCACTCACCTCAGCCTCCCAACGGCTCAGGATTACAGGCTGAGCCACCAATCCCGGCCTAATTTACTTTCTAAATAAACTATATTTTCTAATAAAATAAATAGGACTTTTGTACCCACACAGACTATGTCCCTGTTGCTCTCTACTCTTCTTCCCTTCATCTTCTCCCTTCTCAGCTCTCCCCCCACCAGCCCACCACATCATCATAATCATCACTAACAGCTCTGTTCTTCCCAGTTTAGCTTCAGGCCATGTTTATTCTTTCACTGGGAGCCTTGTTACTGACAGGTAGCGACTGATCCCAGTACACTGGCACCATGCACCTGAGAATGATGCCAGGGGAGAGGTGGGCACTGTCCACTGTGACCAGAGATATCATGGAAGAATCTAAATGGCTCTACCTAGTTATTAGGTCCAGGATTGTTAGTGTGAATGCTAAGATCCAGGAACAGGGGGACAGAGACAACCACCAGGGCAGAGGGCAGAGCCTAGCTAGAGTCCATTCCTGAGAGCTTCCACTCACTGGAAGTAGATAGGCAGACAGACCATCAACTGACTCTTGAAGGAAAGCAGAGAAATCAAGTCTCCTTTCTCTGGAGACTAGCCAGGGAATAGGACTAGGGAACAGGGAGAGGAAGCAGTGGAAAATGGGGCTGGGGGTGAACAGGGAGAAGAACACAGGCACAAGAGAAGAGAAGAATCAGAGATATGCCCTTCCTAGTATGCAAGGACAAAGATATAGAAATATTTGCTCCCCAAATTCCAGCTGTCTCCCACTCCCACACCGGCCCTTTGGGTTAAGATTGAAAGCCATCTGGGTTGCACATATTGGACTTTCTGAAGAATCTTGGAGATAAAAGTTTCAGTAAAAAAGACAGGAGTCCTCAGAGGTTGAGGTAGGAAAGAGGGTGATGTTGAGTCTCCTACTGCTGTAAGAATATGTTTGACATTTAGTTGGTTCCTGATTAAACAACCCAATATCAAACATATCACACAGAAGTAGGCAGGAGAGATTTGGGGTCATCTGCCTTCCTCTCCAATGCAAAGAGTATAGAGCAGAGACACCAGGCAACCATCATGTCTGGATAGAGCCATCTCCTTGAGGAAGGGCACTGGCCCTGCTCTTCACCTCCCAAGACAGCCGGCTCTTGCTCATCTGCCCTCCGTGCCATCCCTGCCTCAGCTCCTCTCCCACCAGCACCTGGCCTCTGCTGGATCACGTCGGCCTGAACCAGGAAAACTACCTGGCAGGGCTCCATATCCGGGCACCTACCATTCCCCAGAGCTCCCACATGGAGTTTCTCCCCCTGATGTGACGGCCCAAGTGCCCAGAGGATCAGCAGTGTCAGCAGCTCCTCATCACAGTTGCCACCTGCTGTCTTCAACGCCACTTTAGCTGCCCTGAGGCTTTCTGGAGCTAGGGGTGGGGGTACTTATACATCCTGCTTTACCTTTCCAACACCACTCCTAACCTTTCCAAATTACCCTCATAGATCACTGACGTCCTTTCAGGGGATGCCATCTGGGCACATTCCTGCTCTTAAGTGCTGCAGATAAATCGATCGTCATGAGAAACTTCTAAAATGCTTGGCTTCTTTACACCATCTTGTCCCTTCTCGCCTTCTCCCCATGTCTTCTAGGCATCCTCCTCAAAGTCACCCTTGGACGTCCAGAAAAGAAATGTATCTCACGGGCTCCAGAAGAGAAGAATTATGGTCCCCCTGCCTGGCAGGATTGAAACTGAGGCTTTAGATCAAGGGTGGGAGAAGACACTCCATCTGCCAGGAATCAGCCTGAAATCCTTAGGCCTCCCCTCCTCTTCTGCAACTTTTTATGACAAGGACTCCTCAGTTAGCTTCTCCAAGGGTCTTCCTTCACAGAGATCCAGCCTGCTTCCCATCTGGAGAATTATCCTTTTGGAGAGAATCAGCTCTGTTGAATGTCATGTGGCAGGCAGATGCTTCTCTCCACTGTGACAGAAAGGAGCCCAAGTTATAGCTGCATTGGGGGCTGGGGAGCTTGGGTGGAAGTGCAAGGGTGGGAGAAGGACACTCTGCTTCAGCCCCCAGGCCTGTTCCATGTGTCCTTGTTCCTATTCCAGACACCCACCCCCACCCCCAGCAGACACCAACTCCACAGTGTCCTTGATCTAGATCAATAGCTTGTCCCAAGCCCCAGTCAATTCCTGTGTGTGGCTCTTGCCTTCGAGGGTAAGACTAACAAATGGGCATACAGACCCCAAGGTAGGCACTGTGGTGTTGTCATATGTCCTTGTTCCTTTATGGCTCCCGGGGAGGGGGGGCATGTAGTCTTTACTTTCTTGCTCTTCTTTCTTACCCATAAACCCCCAAGTTCTAGTTCCTTTCTCTGAGAAGCTTACCCACACTGGAGCGTTAGAGGCTAGAGGAAGAGATGATAGGAAGGACTAGCAGAAACTGAGAGGACTTTAGGCTGGGCATAGTAGGCTCACACCTGTAGTCCCAGCACTCTAGGAGACTGAGGCAGGAGGATTGCCTGAGTCCAGGAGTTTGAGACCAGCCTGGGCAACATAGCAAGACATCATCTCTACAGAAAAAAATTGATAAATTAGCAGGGCATGGTGATGTATGCCTGTAGTCCCAGCTACTTGGAATACTGAGGCAGAGGGATTGCCTAAGCCCAGAAGTTCAAGGCTGGGGTGAGCTCACCACACTGTAACCTGGGCAGCATAGTGAGACTTTGACTCAAAAAAATAAAGAAAAAAAAGAAAAAGAAAGGACTTTAGTGTTTGGGGCACGAGGGGAACAGAGGCAGACGGGGAATATTGACATGGGGAGGAGTAGCTCTTGGAAAGGAGCCTTCATGGCATAACTAGGTATAAACATCAGCTGGCCTCTGATGAAAGCCCTTTTGCTCTCCTGAAAGTGTTTCCTATGCAGCAATTTCGAATAGGGCTGAGCCAGAGGAGCTGAGTACAGTGTCAGTCACAGAGGGAAGAGAGACTGGATGGGTATGACAGGGTGATGTGATGAGAACAGACAGAATAGGCAGAGAGGATCAGAGGAGATGGGCTCTGTAGGGGGCCAACCTGCCAATACTGGAGCCAGCATGGCACTGACAAGCCCTGGGGTAAGAGGCCAAGGTCAGGGATCAAGGCACAGGGGATGAGGCATTTTGTGGGTCTAAATGAACAGAGGAAAGAGGAATAGCGAAATAGAAGGGCTTGGGGGTGGAGGGAGACACGTAATGCAGAGGAGGTAAAAAGGGAAAAAACTGTCATGGGAGCAAGAAAACATCACTATTGGCTGTGGTTTATTGGACATTATGTGTGACTCTGCTAAGTGCCTTATTCAATCCTCAGAGTGACTTAGTATGACTTATACATTATCTCCTTTTTTTTCTTCTTTTTTTTTGAGACAGAGTCTCACTTTGTTGCCCAGGCTGGAATGCAGTGGCATGATCTTGGCTCACCACAGCCTCGACCTGCTGGGCTGGAACGATTCTTCCACCTTAGTCTCCCAAGTAGTCAGGACTACAGACGCACACCAGCATGCCAGGCTAAATTTTTGTAGAGACAAGGTTTTGTTATATTGCCTAGGCTGTTCTCCAACTCCTGGGCTCAAACAATCCTCTCGCCTTGGCCAAAATGCTAGGACTGCAGGTGTGAGCCACCACGCCCAGCACCCCCCACCCCCTGCCTTGAGACAAGGTCTGGCTTTGTTACCCAGGCTAGAATGCAGTAGTACAATCATAGTTCACTGCAGCCTCCAATTCCTGCGTTCACGTGATCCTCCCACCTCAGCCTCCTAAGTAGCTGGGGTATAAGCACATGCCACCATACCTAGATGATTTTATTTTTATTTTTTATGGAGATGGGGGTCTCGTTATCATGCCCAGACTAGTCTTGAACTCCTGGCCTTAAGTGATCCTCCTGCCTCAGCCTCCCAAAGTGCTGGGATAACAGGTATGAACCATTGCACCTGGCCATTATCTTCACTTTTACATACAGTACAAGGAACTGTAACACAGAAAATTGAAATAACTTGCAGCCAGTAAGCGACAGAACCAGCCCTGAAACCCAGATCTGACCAGTGTTAAAACCTATCCTAGTGCTGGGCTGCACTGCCTGTATATAAGTACCAGGGGATGGCATGGGAAACACATACGAGGGAAGATGAAAAAAGTGAAGGCTGAGGTGAGCCTTCAGGAAATAGAGGGCAGGAGAGCAGACAGAGGGAAATTCAGTTTCAGATTTCTGGGTCAATCCAGGCCCCGTGTGTGTGGTTTTGTCTCCCATGAAATGTGCTGCCATGACTTGTTCCATGCCTGGATCCCTCATTAGCCTGTAAACTTCACATTATTTGATGCAAGCACTCATGAGTAGTCATTGATTAAAAAGGCAAGAAGTTTTGGGAAACAGAGGTGATGGGAGCTCGGAATGGAGAATGTAGAACAGATAGAAAAACAGACTTGGGATGGGGAAGGAAATTTGATCTGGATAAGGGGGCTGACCAGGGAGCCAGCAAGCAACCTCTGAAAGACACGCACCATGGGGAAATCTGGGAAAATAGAGAATACCTGCCATGTGTCAAGCACTGGGCTTCCCCTGTATCTTTATGTACACTATCTTACTTTTGTTTCCTTTTGTGTGTGTGTGTCAGAGTCTCAATCACTACTTTTCTGTATTTTTCAGACTTTTGAATGCCTTTAGATGGGCCATGCTCGGCTGGGTGTAGTGGCTCATTCCTGTAATTTGCGCACTTTGGGAGGTGGAGGTGAGAGAATTGCCTAAGCCCATGGGTTCAAGATCAGCCTGGGCAACATGGTGACACCTTGTCTCTACAATGAATCAAAAAGATTAACCAGGTGTGGTGGTGCATGCCTGTAGTTCCAGCGACTTGGAAGGCTGAAGCAGAAGGATCACCTGAGCCCAGCAGGTCGAGGCTGCGGTGGCCAGGAGCACGCCACTGCACTCCAGTCTGGGTAACAGAGTGAGACTCCAACTCAAAAAAAAAAAAAAAGGTCACGTTCTTTCCATCTCACCACAATTTCCACCACTTCTAATTTCCTTATACTTGCTACATTACCTGCCTGATCCCAGGAGGCATTCAAGTTAGAAATCCTCTCATTTTGCGGAGGTGGGAATTCAGGCCCAGAGGAAAGAGTCTTGTCCAACGTTTTATAATAACCAGTTGACTCAAAACCCAAAATGCAGGCCTCCTGACACACAACACCATCATACCTGTAGAGTAATAGCCACATTCAGAGCAGCGCGTCCAAATACACAGAAATGATCAGAGAAAATGAGATCTGAAAAGTGGTGAGCAAAATCCAGGAAGTTAAGATTATGGTAGCTGAGAAGCAAAAGCATTCTTGAAACAAATCAAGAGTTAGACCTGAAAAAATAATGAGCCTGGTGGTCTAAGTTTGAACCATTAAGAGAAAGCTTTATTTGTTAAACCAAATCAGGATTCTCAACTCTCACATAATCCACCTCCCCTCCTCCTCACCCCATTACATCAACTCTGTATATTCTACTCTGGCCGCAAGGTGTCACTCTGGTTTTTACCATTGTTTCATAGACTCCCGAATAGCAGCAGGAGATTGGCATGAGAGTGAAGGAGAATGGGAGCATTGTCTTAATTCTTGGGCAGATTGTCAGGTCCAGATTTGTTTTTGGAAGGAAGTTCAAGGTGGTAGAGGCTCAAGAAGGCTAGGTTAGCAAGCATGATGAGAATGGAAGAACAGTGTTTCAGATGCCATCAGAGTCTCTCTACATAAAAAGCTTTGCCCATCTGATTTAGTTCTTGCTGGTACTGCTGATGCTCCTTTTCAAACAGCTGGTGCAGGGCAGCTTGACGAACCTGGTGGGAGGGCAGAATAGAGTGTGGTTTGTCCTCTGTTTACCACCCTTTCTTCTTCTTTCTCCCTTGTTGCTTTCCCCTTACTTGTATTCTCTTGGACCTGAACTTTGCATGACATAACTCTAGGTGGCAGCAGAGAAGCTGAACCAGTAGAAGGGAAGTTTATTCATTTCCCCCCCACCACCCCGGGTGAATATTTAGCAAATATTTGCTGAGAACATATCATGAACCAAGATTTCTGCTGCATACTTGGGATACAAAGATAGCCACATGACAGCTACTGGGGATCCCAGGGAGAGGCAGAGGTACTGAGAGGCAGGTGCTAGGCACTTAGAAGCAGTTTCAAATCTCACCAAGATGAGAGGAGCAGGGTTAGAACGAACTTTGGGATGTAAAAATGTGCCACCTGCAAGCTGGATAAAAAAAAAAATCACCTAATGAAAAAGAGCGTTGGCATTGGAGTTACAGTTTGTTGCTCTCATGTAATGGTGGAAACCTCAGAGGCAAATGAAATGGGTGGATGATGACAGAGACTAAGAGCCTGGACATCTCCATGAACAAAAGCACAGGGCGGTAACAAATGAGACTTCACGTTGCCCTGCTAGAACTCACCATTAGTAGTTGCTTGTTGGCCAGTACCAATTCCTGTACCATGGTGTCCTGCATCCTTAGGGTGGCATATGGGTTTCTCCTCTGGCTCAATGTCATCTGCCACAGACAGTAAGTATGTGAATTTTGCCACCTGCCCCAAGCATAGAGGTGAGAGTTAAAAGGATTAGAGTTGAGTGGAGACAAAAACTGCATCTGTGAGGTTGCTTCCTCACCCAAAACTTCTGTACCACTGTCAGAAGATTGTAAAATCCTTAAAAGGGTAATTTAGAACATAGTATGTATTAAGTACATTATGTCATTTAATCATTACAATAACCATGTGGCATAGGTATTCATTTTTACATAACATGGAGAGGGAAATGAAAAGTTGTGAGATGCCACGAGGCATAGTGGCTCATACCTGTAATCTCAGCATTGTGGGAGGCGGAGATGAGAGGATTGCCAGAGTCCAGGGGTTCAAAACCAGCCTGGCAATTTGGCAAGACCTCATCTCTACAATAAATCAAAACATTAGTCAGGGGGTGGCACATGCCTATAGTTCCAGCTACTTGGAAGGCTGAGGCAGAAGGATCGCCTGAGCCCAGCAGGTTGAGACTATGAAAACTGATATGTCATTGCACTCCAGCCTGGGCCACAGAGTAAGACACTGACTCAAAAAAATTTCTAAAAAAAGGTGTGAGATGATAAAGGTCACTTAATGGCAGACCAGGTCTCAAATCCAATCTCTCTAAGGCTAATTAATATTCCTTCCACTGGGCGCAGTGGATCAAGCCTGTAATCTCAGCACTATGGGAGGCTGAAGCGAGAGGACTGCCTGAGCCCATGGGTTCGAGACCAGCCTGGGCAACTTGGAGAAACCTCATCTCCACAATAAATCAAAAAATTAGTTGGGTGTGGTGGCGTGTGCCTGTAGTTCCAGCTACTTGGACGGCTGAGGTAGAAGGATGGCCTGAGCCCAGCAGGTCAAGGTTGTGGTAGTCGTGAGTGGTATGCCACACTGCACTCCAGCCTGGGCAACAGAGTGAGACTCCAACTCAAAAAAACAAAAAAAAAGTTCCTTCCATCATATCAGTAATTCTCAACCCTGACTTGACAAAGGAAACTTCATTAAGGTTTTTTTTTTTTTTCAAGTTTAAGTTTCACTGTTTCGCCCAGGCTGGAGTGCAGTGGCATGCTCTCCGCCACTGCAGCCTCAACCTGCTGGGCTTAGGTGATCCTTTCATCTCAGTTCCAAGTAGCTGGAACTACAGAAATATATTAAATGGAAAATAACGGCCGGGCTTGGTCATTCCTCAGCCTGTAATTCCAGCACTTTAGGAGGCCGAGATGAGTGGATTGCCTAAGCCCGCGGGTTCGAGATCCGCCTGGGCAATTTGGCGAGACCTCATCTCTACAATAAATAAAAAAAAAATAGCCGGGCGTGGTAACGCATGCCTGTAGTTCCAGCCACTTGGAAGGCTGAGGCGGAAGGATCGCCGGAGCCCCGCAGGTCGAGGCTGCGGTGGTCGGGGGCGGCCATTGCACTCCAGTCTGGGTGACAAAGTGAGACTCTAACTCAAAAA